GACTGTTGCACTTAGGTTATACAACACATATCACAACCATGGCCACTCTCAGCAAGGGAACGGAGCTTTCACTGCTTCAAGAACTGTATCAAGTGTCCCAACAAAGCACAGCCAGCCCCTAATGAGAATCGTTACACTGTCCCCTAATGCCAATTCCAGGTACTGCAATTAGGCAAGACTAGCTCTGGAAAAGGTAACTAATCACCAGCTTTCAGCATGGGATTTCACCGTTTCTTAGGGGTCTAAAGTGCTAGAAATATCACAAGAAATAGCTGATCTGCTACTTGCTCCAGGGCTGGTCCAGCACTTTTCAGAACCTCTTTTATGCTCAAAAAGACCAAGCACTTCAGCCCTATCAAGTTCACTGACTTTCTACATTTATTTCAATTTTTAAAATCACCAATCACCTGCCTTTGCAAGGCTCTAGGGCTCAGCTTGTTACATGTATTTAGGCACCAAAGACACGTAGGCTCATTTGAAAATCCCATTAGGCGCTTCTGCATCTTTAGGCACCTAAATCCTTGTAAAAATCTGGCCCTAGAAGCCCCGACACACCTTAACAATACAACACGATCTCAGCAGCATTAACAGGATCAGCTTAGCAGCAGCTCCGCTGGGCACCTCCAGAAACTCCTCTCCACCCCTGCATGGCCTAGGAAGGACAACCTCAGCCCTCCAAACACCCTTTTGCCGCACGCCTAGAAAGTCACCATATGGACACTACTGTCAGTATTGCCAGCCCCAAACTTTTAAAAGTCATGAGTCGGGACCCCCAAAATGGTGAGAGGCCTTAAAAATCATGAGACTTAAAAATAAAAAGACTGAATAAGAAATGTCAGGTCCTTTCTATTTGCCCTCTGGCTTCTCAGACCTCAGCTGCACTCAGGTCACATGTTTGTTTTTCTCTGTAACCAAGAGAGCTAGAAACTTCCTTTGTTTAGGAAATGAAAGCCAAGAGTCTCACCTCATCAGATGCTTCCAGGAGCTGGGGCTCTAACAGACACACCAAATACCAGGAGACTCATTGCAAAATCACAAGTGTTGGCGACACTGTATTGTGGACGAAGGCAGGCAGCAAATTCCAGAGTCTCGGAGCCCTGGTAGACATCACCCAGCCAGCCCCCGCCTCTCCTCTGCTCCGGCGAGGCAATGGGAAGCTGCCTACTTCCTCACACACAACGGCACATGCATATTTCCCACATGCATATTTCCCACAGCTTTCCAAAGCAGAAGCAAGAAGAGAAGAGTATCGAGGAGGTGATTACCATCACTAACTGAGTGCTGACGCTGTACAGGATGCAAACTAAGACCCAGGCCTTCCCCTTCCCCAAGGAATTTGAAAGTTTTTAAGGTAAAAGTCTCCTCCAGTCACAATACCCATATTTGGCTTGTGCATTTTCAGAGCCAAATGGAAAACACCATTCAGGTGGTGATGTCAAACTCTCTAGTCAACCTCCCAGCCAGGCCCAAGGACGGCCATTCCTCCCAGCCTTAACCAAGTGTTTTGTCTGGAATGAGAAGTGTATTGAAGGCAGCTGTCTGGTCCCTAACACTGTGATACTATCGAAACCCCCTCCTTAGGCAAAGACAGGTCCAGTGCACAAGCCCACCTGACGCCCAGCTGGCAGACTGTAAATGTAACAGTGAAAATGCCCAGAGCATCCACGGAGGCTCCCTCACTCTAATGTGAGCAGCACCCCTTTGGTTCCATGTGCAGCGTGCCGCTCCCTCCCCGCCGTTCCTAGACATCACGAGGACTCTAACCTTTTCAGGGAGGGCTTCGTATTCCCCAGCTCGGATTGCTGGCAGAGATTTCCTGCTCTCCTTCCGCGCTGCTTCTCCATACAGGTACACTGCAAGAGAAAATTCATACGTGACGAACCACTGGCCTGGAGCCATCCAACACATGCATGTTAGTGTGGGTGCGGAAATTGGGAAAAGCCCTGGATATCTCCCAAGGTGTTCAAATACAGGCCAGCTCTAACATAATGCACCAAGGCAATGAACACCACATTCGGCCCCCAGTGAAATCACACATACAGAAAGCGATAAAAGTTCTCGGGTTCTAAATCAATAACTATGTTTGTGTAGGCCTGGACATCACAAATATACACTGAAACCAGCTTCTCCTTCATTTGCTTAGCCAAGTCACGAGTTAGCGATTCGGCACTTTCCTGCCACCAAGAACAGAGGTAACGTACGAAGGGTTCTCAGCAGGGCCTATACATTTTTACTAGTACTCCCAAGAGTGCCTACTAATTAGGGCTTAAAATTTGAAAAGCGGCTAGTGATTTTGGGTGCCTCCAGTCCTGAGACTCGTCGAGGGAGCTGAGCTTCTGAAAGGGCTGAGCAGCCCGCCTCTACATCAGACTCTCCCAATTGTCTCTCAAGTTGGGCTCCCCAAATCACTTGTGATATTTTTGGAAACCTTGGCCCTTCTTGCTCATGTGTGACAGATTTCAAAGCTCATACACTTCTCTTGCTGGGATAATTTAATGACAGACATTTTAGCCTAAGTTAACGCTTTTAAAAGGGGTTTATTTGTTTTTATCATGGCAGGACAGTCCCAGTGCAGAATCGGAGCGGAACAATGTATTGTGTCAATGTGAGCACAGGGGGAGATGGTCGAATTACTGAAGGGGTCAGAAAAGAGGTGTATACAGACAGAATTCTCTCCCCTCCCCATCACCAACTCACCAGGCACGCCCAGCTCCACTGACAATTGCTGCCCAAACAGACTGGCACAGCGAATGCATTCTTCCATGGTGACATCCCTCACTGGGACGAAAGGACAGACATCCAGGGCACCCATCCGGGGATGTTCTCCTAGGAAAGCAAAGTGTTATGTTTATAAGAAGCACATGAAATCTTTTGAAGAGGATAAGCAACATTCCAGAGGTGTGCATAGAGGCCTGGAGGGGCGTGGGGGCGTGTGGGGGGAAGGGGAGAGGATGAGCCAGTTTAGAGATGGCCGGACTTTATTTATTCATTCCTTATGATCTCAGGACTAGACTAACTCCCCTCCTGCGTCAGGGCCATTGACGTCACAGGACTAACCAATTACACTGTATTTGCTCAACCGTCCGCCTTGTTTATTCCAGCCAAAAAGAAAACGACCACAAGTTCAGGGTCGTCAGAGGGAGATGTGGAATCTCTGCTCCTATCACAGCCTGCGCCTGCCTGGGTAGATTGGTTGGCCTCCCACAGGACATGGGGAGGCTCCGTTTGAAAAGTGACTGCCCTTTGTATTTGTGCAATGTAGCTCCAGCGGCCGGGAGCGCACGGCTCCCCTAACAGCTGCCGCTCAGCTTCCATTGTACATCACAGGGAGGAAAAACCCTTAACGTCATGAGACCGGAGAAGGAGAGCCGTCCAATAGCAATCTGAGTAGTGCTCCCAGGGAGACCCCGTGACTCGAGCACAGCCCACCCTCATGGCTGCTCCGGTTTGGGCCTGAAGTTGCTGCTCTGTGTTGGCTCTGGCAAATCACCTCAGCCAGATCCATGCTGGACCTGACAGCGGAGACCTTCGGCAGTAGGCTGTGCCACAGCTCACTCCCCTGGGCCCCGCCACGCAGCACCTACTCCTGCCCCACCACCACTCTGATCACCTCTGTGCTTGCCCATGTCAATGAGCTGAAAAGCCACTCTGGCTGCACGCAGAGCCCCCTCGACGACAGCGTCTGGACTCCCCACAAAGGTGTAGACCGTCCGATTGGTGGACGGGCCGGCGTCCACATCCAGCAGGACGCACCCCGGTGTCTGAGAGATGGCCTCGCCGATGGCATCGATCACCTACAAGAGAGCAAGCCGAAGAAGGGGGCTCCGCCAGGCCCATTAACGCTTCCTCTCAGTAGGCAGCCCAGCATGGAGTCTCTAAAGAAAGGAGCCGAGACATGGCTGGGTTTGTTAATGCTTCAAATGCACACCCAAAAGTGAGCCGAGAGTCAAACTTTGGCTCACGGAGGAATCATTCACGTTCAAAGCACTAACATCACCCTCCAGCTCCAAATCACAGCCTGCACCGGGGACTGAAAAGTAGCTGCTCAGCGTAATCAGAGCAATGTAGGACCCGAAGGGACCTTGAGAGGTCATCTAGTCCAGTCCCCTGCGCTGAGGCAGGACTGTGCTGAGACTTTCTGTGCTCGAGGCCTAAGAACTGTCTGTGCTGTGTTCCAGACATACAATAAACCCCTCTGATTTAGGCAGGCTAGAGATTGCGGTGGCATTGCTCCCTCTGGGAGGAGGTCCTGAGGGTCCAGAGTGAGTGAACTCCCTGAGGTGGCCCATAGTGAGAGACAGGCGTCCTGAAGGCTCAGAGGTGCGGTCCTGGGAGTCAACGGGACCAAAGGGCCTAACCCCAGAGAGTGCAACCTTCACGAAAGGATGTCACACTGAAGGGGGTTACTCCCGGGAACTGTACGGCACCGAGAGAGCACCGGGCCTGAGAGTCCGTGACACATACATTTTTATGTCAGTGTATGAGATAATTCAGTTTTCAGTACCCTTGATGTTCAAAGATAATGGCCAATGGCTCTGCAGTCACATCCACCAACTCCTTTAGCAGCCTCGGATGCAGCGCATCCGGCCCCATGGACTTGTGCTCGTCCAGTTTTTTCTAAATAGTCCTGAACCACTTTCTTTCTCCACAGAGGACTGGTCACCTCCTCCCCATACTGTGCTGCCCAGTGCAGTAGTCTGGGAGCTGACCTTGTTTGTGAAGACAGAGGCAAAAAAAGCATTGAATACTTTAGCTTTTT